TAGAAACGGGATAGAGCAATGCCTCGCACGTTACGTAACCCCACGAATTGCGCGAGTCTCTGCGCACGGGGTCATGTGAGCCGCAAGTAGCACGAGGAAGGACGCCGGGGGGAGGGGGTAGGTCTAGCAGAAGACGCGCCGCGGCGCCAACGGATGAATTTCCTTTAGGCCGGAATCAGACTACGTATTGAAGATTCAGATTCAATATTGAAAGATTGAAATTTGACCGATCAAAACAATAGGAGCTAAAATTCCTTTGTTTTCATTAGTCAAATTTCAATCTCAATCTTCAATGCGTAGTCTGATTTCGGCTTTACCGACCTTCCGGTCTACAAAAACGTTTTCTTTCTGAAGGTTAAATGTGTACGTTAAATCGAGGCAGAAATTACATAAATAAACAAATTCGGCAAGTATTAACTAATAAAATTATAAATATTTTCGTGAATTCGCTCACTTTGTAATTCTCCTTATTTAAGATACATAATTGACCTCCTCTCTGAATCAATTATTTCCGCATTTCTTTCTTTTGTTCTTTATCAATCTGTAGTTGATAACGAGATATTAATTCCGACCAATCAGTCGATCATTCAACTGTGATGAATTCCTTAAGGCTTAAAGCTTATTACACCTATTGTGTTTTAGGACTCCGGCATGTTCTTCCTAGCCAAACCTGTTACATAGCTTATCTTTTCTCTTTTTCTTTTCACGTCGAAGCGAAAAAGAAAAGATGCACTGTGCAAGAAAAGGAGCAATTCTAAAAAAAATAATCCTATTCTGTCCTTTATATTTGTGAAAATTATGGTCAAATTTATCCACACAACAGTTTTCTGAGGGACGTTTTAAAGACGTCTTTAGGATGATTCTTTGGATAGATGTCTTCAAGATATCTGGATGTCCTCTGGATGTCTTTAGAATATTCCTTGAAAAACTAGTGTTATACATGGATACTCTGGAAGAAAGACAATACATTCTTCTGAACAATCATTAAACTACGTGAAGCTGTTCCTCAAAGAAAAGTGAAGAACTCATTGTAATCTTTTAAGTTTAATCTACAATGTGCTCTTTAATTCTTGTTTCTTTTTACCACTTTTATCTCTTTTTTTTTTGCCTCTTAACCCGTTTCTTCGTTTTCTATCATCCTAGATACTTGACGAACTTCGGAAGAGATAAGAAACGCGATGGTTGATAAAACGATCACAAAGGGGAAAAAAGGCTAAAGATAAAAAATAAGAAACAGGAAGCGAAGAGCACATTAAAGATTAGATTTTAGATCGAATCGTGCTTCTTGGTACTCGATCTGCTTACCATAACGTCGGCGAGTGGGACGACACGAGATTAC